ATTCTACGCGACTTTACCGAAAGAACCAAAGCAGAGAAAATGTAAGAAAGTCGCTAAAATGTGAAACTCGTATAAAGTACGTATATAAGTGTTTTTTTTACCGCTACAATATATGACGCTTATAACACGCATGCATGCAGCGAGTCGCAATTTTAATTTAACATAACCCCAACCCCATCGTCAATAATACTGCTCCCAAGAGATTAAATCATTCTACACAGTAATATATATGTACATCGCTCATTCGTCGTGCTATGAAGAGAGGCTCATCGCCCGAAACGTCGCCTATTACGCTGGTTTCAACTTGCACAGAGTGTCGTTCCCTTAACTGTGCTGGCCAATGCAGCGGCAGCAGCATCGCCGAATCTGTTGCGTCATTTAAATGTTGTGACGGAAGAATCACACACACACGCGTGCGTGATTGTGCCGGAAAATAATGTAATGGGATAATTGTGATGCGATAAGGGGCCGTCCAAAATGACGTCACGCGATTTTGGACGATTTTTGACCCCCCCCCTCCTCGTCACACGGCGTCACAAAAAATCAGACCCCCCCTCAAATATGACGTCACAAAGCTCTGCCCCCCCCCCAAAAAAAAATAAGACATGCTTCAAATCGCTTTGAACTATTGTCATTGTAGTGCGTATTTAATGTGGTGCTGCACTCTGATGTTGTGGGAGTGTTGTTCCAACAATTAGTGTTGTTGTGACAATTCTATATTTTTAGTTCTTTCGGTAAAGTCACGTTGAAGGGAAACAACAAAATAATAAAATATATATAAAACAATAAAAATTCTCACGACGTTTCGACCATAACACAAACGGTCGTCTTCAGGTGTGTCGGTTTGCATACATTTTTTTATTTTTAAACGGTGTATTTATTTATTTATAAAAAATCGTCTCCCCCCTCCTCTTTTCAGAACATAGATGGACTAGTCCGTCTAAATAAACTGCCAAATCGCTGCGCGTGGCGCTAACGTTTTTTTAAATAAATAAATAAATACACCGTTTAAAAATAAATAAATGTATGCAAACCGACACACCTCAAGACGACCGTTTGTGTTATGGTCGAAACGTCGTGAGAATTTGTATTGTTTTATATATAATTTATTATTTTATTGTTTCCCTTCAACGTGACTTTACCGAAAGAACTAAGAATATGAATTACTGCAGTCACGAAAGCTTTAAATCAAAATTCTATATTTATTTAAAGTTGCGCTTCTTGATGTGACGTCACATTTCTCAAACCCCCCCCCCCCCTCGTCACATATCGTCACAAATGTCTGACCACCCCCCCCCCCCAGGTGCGTGACGTCATTTACGGACGGCCCCTAATCACGGCATCCATGAACGCGAGAGTCGTTTTATTTTGCTTGTCACGTCGGAAAATGAAATAACCTCAGACACAATCGCAATGATAATGACGATGTAACGGTATTTGTGACAGACGGACGATACGATTATTAGTGGATCGTATACTTTACGTTATATCGTACACTCTGCTCCGATATATCGTATACTCTATCGTATGCTCTACGATATATCGTATACTCGACGATATATCGTGTACTCTACTACGATATATCGTGTACTCTACGATATATCGTGTACTCTACTACGATATACCGTGTCCTCTACGATATATCGTGTACTCTACGATATATCGTGTACTCTACGATATATCGTGTAGAGTACACGATATATCGTAGAGTAGAGTACACGATATATCGTAGAGTAGGCGATATGTCGTTGTAGAGTACACGATATATCGTAGAGCAGGCGATATGTCGTTGTAGAGTACACGATATATCGTAGTAGAGTAGGCGATATGTCGTTGTAGAGTACACGATATATCGTAGTAGAGTACACGATAAATCGTAGAGTACTCGATATATCGTTGTAGAGTACACGATATATCGTAGAGTAGGCGATATATCGTAGTAGAGTAGGCGATATGTCGTAGTAGAGTGTACTCTACAACGATATATCGCCTACTCTACGATATATCGTGCACTCTACGATATATCGCCTACTCTACGATATATCGTGTACTCTACTACGATATATCGCCTACTCTACGATATATCGTGTACTCTACGATATATCGTGTACTCTACAGTAATATATCGTGTACTCTACAACGATATATCGTGTACTCTACGATATATCGTGTACTCTACGATATATCGTGTACTCTACTACGATATATCGCCTACTCTACGATATGTCGTGTACTCTACTACGACATATCGCCTTCTCTACGATATATCGTGTACTCTACTACGATATATCGCGATACCACAATATATCGTGTACTCTACCGCGATATATCGCGATACTACGATATATCGCGATACCACGATATATCGCGATACTACGATATATCGCGATACTACGATATATCGTGTCCTCTACGATATATCGTGTCCTCTATGTGTACTGCAATATTTCGTATACTCTACTACGATATATCGCGTGCTCCACGATATATCGTAGTATCGCGGCACTGTTAGACCAACAGCGGATAGAATCGATTCATTGGTTGTGCCGGTGATTAGTGAAACGATTCATTTCGTCGGTGAATTGATGCCGTTAGAATCTAAGATGCATTAGAAAATCGAATCTAGTCGGATAGATATCAGCCATTTCTGAATCGATTCCACTACTACGGCCGTCAATCTATGGAGTCAAGGTCCCTTTGGTCTGTGTGAACTGCTTTCTCGTCACATTAGTACCGTTCACAACATTGTCGCGTGTTTATAATAGTCCGCTACTGTTATAAAAACACGCGCCGTGTATACGGTGTTTGAACATCAAAATAAATCGCAATGCGTGCGGTGTTCATCGGTCTTGGGCTCGTTTGCTTGGATTTCCTGCGGGAAGCCTGGCGCTAGGCCTCCGCTCGCGAATGGCCGCGTGAAGGGGGTGGGGTGGTGGTTGTGTGTCAATGTTCTCATGCCATACTCTTTGGTTCTTTCGGTAAAGTCATGTAGAAGGGAAATAATAAAAGAATAGAAATAAAACAATAAAATTCTCACGACGTTTTGATTGCAGCACAAGCAATCATCATCAGGTGTGAAACCCACAGCAAGAATTTTTTTTAAAAGGAAAAAGCCGCCACTTTTTTCAAATTTCTTGCTGTGGGTTTCACACCTGATGATGATTGCTTGTGTTGCAATCGAAACGTCGTGAGAATTTTATTGTTTTATTTTATTATTTCCCTTCTACGTGACTTTACCGAAAGAACCAAGAATATGAATCCCTGCAGTCACGAAAGCTTTAAATCTAAAAGTCTTAAAACAGTTTTAAAACAGTCTGCCTCAGCAGCAGACCATGCTTTCCCACCTGATGACGGACGCTTGTGTTGCGCCCGAAACGTCGTGATTTGTTTTATTTTTCTACCTACGTGACTTCACCGAAAGAACCAAAGAGTATGGATTCCTGCGGTCACGAAAGCTTCAAATCAAGATTGTTCTCATACCTGTCAACCCAATACGGTGGTACACGTCTTCTTGCCCAGGGGAAATTAGGTCTATTTTTTGTGTTTCTCCCTCGTGATGGGACATTGTAGGATGAACTTTGAGATTTATAAGGGCACGGAGGTGACCAATAAGGTCTTGGAATTGGTCTGTAATAAGTTGGGGCACTGTTAATGGGTTGACAGGTATGTATGCATATTCTTAGTTCTTTCGGTAAAGTCACGTTGAAGGGAAACAACAAAATAATAAAATATATAACACAATAAAAATTCTCACGACGTTTCGACCATAACACAAACGGTCGTCTTCAGGTGTGTCGGTTTGCATACATTTTATGCAAATCAAAAGGTATGTATGCGTTAGCGTTCATTTTCGCTTTACTTTCACTTGGAAAGGTTTCATTGCGGGCAGTGTTTCGTGTTTTTTTTCCCTCCACATTTAGAAGCATGCTTTTAGAGTATTTGGCTGCGATAAATGTTTTAGAGTATTTGGCTGCGATAAATGTTCACATGATAAGCCACGTCGCTAAGCTATAATTTGTGATAGCCAGGTCACTTCTGAAAAATAGGTATATATTTTTGATTTAAAGCTTTCGTGGCTGCAGGGATTCATATTCTTGGTTCTTTCGGTAAAGTCACGTAGAAGGGAAACAATAAAATAATATATAAAACAATAAAATTCTCACGACGTTTCGACTGCAACACAAGCAATCATCATCAGGTGTGAAAACCACAGCAAGAAAATTGTATTATTTTATTGTTTCCCTTCTACGTGACTTTACCGAAAGAACCAAGAATAATAGGTATATAGCTCAGTGGCCTTTACCTGGTAAAATTGAAAAGTTTAGCTTAGTTTAGTCTTCTGCCCACTTTTCTCAACAATCAACATGATACTCTTTGGTTCTTTCGGTAAAGTCACGTAGGTATGAAATAATTTATAATTATACCTACGTGACTTTACCGAAAGAACCAAAGAGTATGGATTCCCGCAGTCACGAAAGCTTCAAATCAAGTCCAAAATGATGTCTCAAACTTGCGCGTATTCCCTAATTCATGTGTTCCTATTGCTGTCTCTGGCATTGCAAGCGCACACCTCTGCTTCTTTGAGCACTGTTCAGCTTCTGTTCCATTTGCTATGCCCACGGCCACGTTTTTGATCCATCTTATAGCAGTCGTATATATACTGAAGTCTTGATTTGTCGCAGTAGACCTTGGTATTGTAGGTTAAGCTTGTATTAATTGACCCAGGTCACTCTTCCATCAGAGTAGCTGTTGAAATAAAATTTATGGTTATCATTATTTGAACAAGGTACCACGCTCATTGAGATGAAACACCACCTTGTGATGAAGAGAAAGCTTGCATTTTCTCAGGAAGAAATAGCTGGCACGATGATTTTCAGTACCAACGGGCATATAGATGTTTTTAAATAACACATTTCAAATTTCAGCCACTTTTAATTTACCAATGGATGAAGTCCTGCACATGCAATGTTAATTATGAGTTTTATTTACCATACTTCACCATGCTGGTCAGGGCAAGTCAGTACGCAGGACCGGTTCTGATATAAATTATTACTAATTTAAGCCAGGAATCAAACTTAGCTTGCCAGGTCCGTAGTGCCACGTGTTAACCACTGTGCCCACCGCTACTCCACCATGCCTCGTGATGAACACTTTGCTCCTTGTTCCCACAGCTGAGACGATGTCTGCCACTCAGCCACCGGGCAGCAACGCTCAAACCGGAAAGGCCGACAAAGCTGAACCTGAGACAAAAACGAAAAGCGACAGGTTTTCGCGAGTACCGGGTCTTCGCGGGGTGCAAACCACGACGCTCTTTCGAGCCATTAACCCAGAGCTCTTCATAAAGCCGGTAAGTGGGCTGTAATGCAGCCTCGTTCAGACGATGTTTTCCGTTTTGCTGTCAAACCTTTCCCCATCCACGTTCAATGCACTTTTCAATGCATTAACCATTACCGTGCGAGTTAATACATTAAACATAAGTGGTGACCTGAATTGAATCGTTGCACTTTTTGTGGATTGATTATGGTTAATGATGAAAATAATGTATGCAGCCGCCTATTAATAATGTACCAGCATGGCTTCATTTCAGCCGGAGTAGTCTGAAAAGCTGTTCAGAGAATTATTTTGGCATACCACAGCCATCTCTGATTATTTTGTCCTCTTGATACTGCTTCATTTTTATTAACCTATTAGAGTTTATTGGAATACATGCTACAACAATATAGTTGTATTATGGATATGTGCACCTTGTACTCCCGTGGTAGTGCATTGCGCCAATAATCCCTACTCCAACCGAGGCCTAGCAGTTTTCCAGATAATATCGAGTGAGAAATGAATCCCCCTGTGCCATGGTAGCGCAGCCATGTGCAGGCAGTCTGCGCCATCCACCTACCCCTCGCCTCCAAAGCGCTAGATTTTGCGCGTGTGCTGCACACCAAGCTCGTTGTGTAACCTCTTACCCCTTTCCCCTTCTCCCCATCTCTCCACCACATCGCCGGACAGAACCGCTACGTGATGGCGTTTGGGCTCGTCACGCTGTCAATGTGCGTCGCGTACCTAGCGTACATGCGTGTCGAGTACGCAAACTCGCAGGCGGAGGAGCAGCAGATCAGCCCTGGGAGGAGAAGAACGCGATGGGACTGATGGATCCTTCCACAATAACGAGAGGATGTTTTGCCCCCACTGTTTGGAACTGTACTTCCCACAGCCCTCTGTGATGTTGACTCCCTGCCCCTGCTCAAGTTACAGGCGTGCTAGACCTTTTTTTTTCTTCTGCCTGTAAATTAATGTCTCTTTAACCTGTATAAAATAAAACATGCCCACTGTTAAATCTTGACTGAAAGCTTTAATGACTGCTTAGCTTCCAAGGTCTGATGGGATCGGGTTGCTTTCCGGATGGTTTGGTCAAAGTTGGACATTAACACTCGGTGCATGATTCTGATCCGTGTGTGTGTGTGGACAGGCGATTTAAAATAGTACGTACGTAATGCTGTTTATAATAAAATGAACATGACGGTTATCGAGTGCTTTGTAATCTTTGTCAGTATTTAAGGAGAGTTTACTTTAACCATTCGATTGTTATTGATTCAAGTGATATTTTTAATCCAGGGTTAAAAACCCCACGTGTTGAGTGGCAACTTCCCAGCAGTTATTGCCATGTTATGTTATTGTAATAATCACATTTAAAAATGCTCAAAACGTATTTCATGTTGCCCATTGTTGGACTTGTAATTATCTTATTAAGCTTAACGAGGATTAGCCTTCTTTGGTTCTTTCGGTAAAGTCACGTAGAATGAGAATAAAATAATAAATTGATAAAATAACACAATAATATTCTCACGACGTTTTGGCCACAACAAAAGCGGCCTTCATCAGGCCACGTGTTGTGGCCGAAACGTGAGAATATTATAGTGTTATTTTATAAATTTATTATTTTATTCTCATTCTACGTGACTTTACCGAAAGAACCAAAGAAGATGAATCATTGCAGTCACGAAAGCTTTAAATCGAGGATTAGCCTCTGAAGTTCACATCTTTGTAGTGGATACACCTATCAGAGGGGGGGGGGGGGGGTGGCGTTGAGAGTTATTATGGAGGAGTGGGTTTCCTTATCGCTCCGTGAATCCGACAGTTGTAGGGCTCAAGAGTTCATCGGATGTAGTTGCCCTGACACGAGCAGCACAATCGCACCTCGGTTGGCTACGTACGGTGCAAAAGAAGTTCAGCATTCGTGCGTACAAGGATCTCTCACAACAACAACAACAACCGCCATTCGCCACGAAGTGGCGGTGACGTCACCACGACGCTTGTGCCCGGCCATGTGCACGTTGAGGCCACGTGAAGTGTCGAACGCCTGCTGGCAGGAGGTCACGGTGCAGACCCAGGTGCCACGGGTCGACTGACTTCTCCCACGTACACTTTACACAATCGGCAGACAACCAATATTTTAGACAATGGAAAGGTAGAACCAATAGGGAATTGCCAATCATTAACCCACTTTTTTTTGTTTCCCGTGTAATGCCCCCATGAATTGACCTGACTGGCATCTTCGTTTTTTGCGTCGTGGTCTCCGATTAAGGTTTTTTTCATTGTCACAATCGTTTTACACACTTCTGTTCATTCAATCTCCGGTCTTGTTTTTTTGCATCTCTGCTCTTAAAAGTATTTTTGTGGTGAGACCACAGTGGTGCTGGGCCACCTACCCGCTTCCTGTGCCTTGCCGGCCTTCAAAAAGTGTGTTAAGGCGACACGAAGGGGGGGGGGGCACCATCTTTGCTGTGTCTTGTGCAGATTTGTATAACTTTATTGACAAGCGAGCACACGTTTGTGTGTGTTCGGCCAATTCCATTCAGAATCAAAATCTTAATTTAGTCTTGATAAATCCGATGAGCTATGAAGCTCTTTTTTCACAGATGTCCGGTATGGGCGGGTCACCATTCATTCAACAAACCGACACTCGAATCTCTACGCCGTCGAGAGAAAAAAAATCCACACTTTTCTTTTTGGTCAACCGGACCAACAACTTTAACGACTAGGACTGTAATTATAATAATCACAAAAATAGTTTTTTTTTTAAAATATATATAAATATAAAACAACAAACATACAAATGAGCGTATACGCAAATAAAACCCGCTGATGGTCGTGGAAATTCTGACGAGTACCTTCGGTGGGATTCTATCGGTCACTGCCCTCTCTTCGAGCGAGCGCGGAGGGAGCGTGTGCACATCCCATCGACTAATTGACCTCCTCCTCCTCCCTCCTCCTCGCTGCAAGTGACGGGTTCTCACCTGAGACTTGATTGATGCGCGTGGGGAGACGAGAGCGCGGACACACACACACATATATATAAACCCCCCTATAATCGCACGTTGCTCGCGGCCGAGGAACCTTGAACAAAAGACGCAAACTCAAGGTCGTCCATCAACGGGAAGGCGAGATTTGGAGGGGCGAGTCAACTCATCTCTCGACGAGTCCGCGAGCGCGTCTCTTGCGAGAGACGCCTCGACTCTCGGATGCCTTGAGGTGAGCGGGCAAGAAAAGAATAATAGTAATAATAAACACCCGAGCGACCGGTTGCGTGCGACTGAATCCCTTCGCATGCTTCCGGCAACACAAAATGTGTTGGCGGTGATGCTGCTGCTGGAGAGAGGTGCACAAGCACAACTAACAACAACAACAGCAAACTCAACACACTCGTCAATAACACCGCGGCGGCATTACAAAAAAATAATAACATAGGCGACGGTTCGGGCAATGACCCTTCCTCACAAGCACACAAATAGAGAGGCCAGAGAGGGTAAGGCAAGATGATAATTGGAGAGCGCACTCTATAATATCATCCCCAACTTTTCATCCTGTCTACCATCTCTGGCCTCTCTCGATGCGCGTGCGCGTGCGTGCTGTGGAAGGAGGGCCGTTGCCCGAAACGTCGACGAATGGCGTTGGGGTTTTCCCCACGGGCGAGTGGCGACGCGACGCGCCTCTCTGCATGGTGGCACCCGTGGCCGTTCACGATTTTACAATAACTGCAATGCAACGCTGGTAACGATTAGACCTGACGAACGATTTAACGTGATTGTTTAAGGTGGGGTTGGGGGGGGGAGAAAAGCAATCGCGCTAGAGCGGTGGTTCGCGCGCTGACGTATCGAACCTGAGTTCGATTCCCTGCCACGGCGACTGCGAACCTCGGTGGCTTCAGAGTGACGAGCTGTTGCACGCACCAAAGTGGTGAAGTATGGTCAGAAACACCCGAGCCCATCACCGACGAAGCGTTTGGGGGGGGGGGGAGGGGCGAGGGGGGGAGGTGTTCACCCACCAGTGGATTCTTTGACAATGGGCTAAACATGAATTACTGAATGTTATTAATTAGTCTCAAAGCGCGCTTTGACTTCTGCTGCTTTTTGTAAAGACTTCAACGAGCCTTTAAGTTACGTGTGAATCTGATACTTCGCTCTCCATTCAATCATCTAGTATTCAATACGCGCATTGTTCAACATGTATGCCCCGCACACTATATGTGATTCAACATGTATGCTCATTGACTATGTGTTGTTCAACACGTATGGAGTGTACAGCCCTGTTTGTTTAACCACTGCAGGATGAAGGATTCTCGCACGCCGTGCGCTCCTGGAGGGTTATTTGAGAACTTACGTTGATTATTCCGCATTCCGTGTGATCTACACACATATATATAAAACACACACATGTAAAACAACATGAGTCTATCTAAAATGCACGCATGGTATCATCATTATGGTGTTGTTAATTGTGTTTTAGAAGCCAATTGTAACCCTATAACATTTCACTGTAACGTTATCAGTTCTTACCGCATTATTATGATTCTAAGGCGCATCTTTACCCCCCCTGTATTTGAAAAAAAATGTTGGCAGTGCGTCTTATAATCCAGTAGCTGTGTGTGTGTGTGTGTGGGGGGGAGTGGTGGCGCAGTGGTTAGCGCATTGCGCTACGAATCCGGCAACCCGACGGCCAAACACCATGCAGCCATCTGAACCCGGTCTTGGGTCCTTTATAGGTCACCGCAGCCTGGCGCGTTGTGCAAACGTCAGCACTGGAGAGACAAAGGCGGCCGGGCGTGGTTGCTGGCCACTCACACCCCGTCGTGTGCCGTGCCGGCCTTCGTAGGTCGTGCTATTCGCAAACGGCACTTGCCCCCAACATTCTGCGTGAGACCAGATTTATGTAACTTTATTGAAGTGTGCGTCTTACAATCCGGAGAACTCCATCAAGTGTGTTGCGTTTTCTTAACCAACACACAACCTTACACGCGCCCTTCGATGTAAGCAACTGCTACAATGGTGCATCTGTTATCTTGTGACCGGCTGAACACGTGTTAAGTTAAAACTCGAATCAATACGAAAGAGTGCACGGCTCCAATTTCAACAAATCTACAACCACAAAAGGAGTCGACATTTTCATTCATTTTCATCATCAGCAGCATCAGCAGCATCATCAGCAAGTATTACCACTGTTGGATGAAGGTCTCTTCCAAGCCGTCGTGCCATCGCCTATTACCATACCAGTGGTGTGACATCGCAGCACACCGGCGGCTGACTTCATCGATCCATCTCCACGCGTATTATTATCATCATCAGCAAGACGTTCGTATTTCATATGTGTCATGTCCCCTGATGCCCTTTGATCCGCGTGTTCCTCTCTCTCTCTCCCCACGCACATTTGCTCACTTTACAGCATTGTTCCATCCCCATTCGCGAGTGTGTCCACGCCTCCGATCCGTATGCCATAGTACGTCGTCCTACCATGATATGTTACCGTGCACGTTGTCAATGTGGGGGAATTCTATTTTAATCTGAAATCCAATTTGAACCGAATGTATTTCGCACCGTACGTAGCCAACCGCGCCGATCGGAGTTGCGGGGGAAGGGCAACACACGAAACACAAAAAGCAGTTCTATAGACACATGAGTTTTCAATCTATATACAAAAGTGCAATGGCCCCAGTGGCTTCCGAACATCGGAAGGAAGAGCGTTCCAGACGGCCGCAGAAGCGCGTCCGAAAGTGCGCCATGCGGTGATGGCTTAGCAGCCAAAAGCCGCTGGTGGCAAGGCTGTCCCGAGGTCGCGTGATGGTTTACGTTCCTAGGACGAGATCAGTAAAGGTAAACATGTTTTCTGGACTCGCGATAAATATAGACACATTTTAGTAATACAAAATGAAATGAGAACTTTGCGGTGAAACACGGAGACGGGGACGCACGCTTGGAATGGCATTGAGAGACAGAAAGAGGAGCACGTGGATTAGAGAACACGCGCGCGGTTTAAAGACGACAATTAAACTGATAATAAAAGTGAACGAGGCTTGGGGAAGGACGCGTCGCGGCTAAAACCGCCGATTGCCAAAGTATAATTAAGGCGTAGCAGCCAAGGAATGGAACGCTTCCGAAAGCGAGTCCACCGAGTAGATGGAACGATGAATTCATCTCGCGTGCAGCAGCAAGATTGATTGCTGCATCGCGCGATTGCGAGATATAGCGGCCGTGAGCGCTGCCTTTCGTCCAGCAGTGGGTTGATCATGGCGGATGATGATATTTGCTGGACTCGGTAAGTATTACTCACTTCTTGCTTCTCTGTCCGTCTTTCCTCTCCCTGCCTCTTGGTGTCCCTGTATATGTATTTCTGCTGACTTGTACCTCGTATTTGTTCACTCTGTCTATGCTGGTGTGTTCAACCCAGAGGATGAACACGATAATTTAGCACTCTTCTGAAATTCGTGGTCCGCCAGGCAAGTGTCTAACTGTGTTGTTGGCCCGACTGGTTTTGCATCACGTAATTTTTTCTTAGGTTTGTTGAATTCTCGTCTCTCATCTTATTGTTGTATTTACCTCCGTGCAGTTTAACGCTCTCTATGCGTTGCGTTGATGTCACCCCATGCGCTCCCTCGCTATTTGTTTTTTTTTTACACCTGATGAAGATCGCTTGTGTTGCGGTCGAAACGTCGCGATTGATTTATTTCAATATAATTTTACGGTATTCCTAGATACGTGACTTTACCGAAAAAACCAATGAGTAATTTATGCAGTCACGAAAGCTTTCAATTCTTTATTTTCGGTAAGTATTGTTTATCCTTTCCGTAGACACGCTCTTGCTGCGATAATGTGGAATATCGACCACGGGCTCAGGGCCGCCATAGGCAATGAACGCCGCCAGATTGCTCGTTCAGGTTGGAGATATTTTGCGAATGGTGGAGCCGTGGCGCAGTCTTTGGCGCACCGCAGTTCGATTCCCAGCCACGGCTAACATCAGTGACGAGTGATATTTCCTTACCCGTCTTGGGCACTCTCTCCAACCAAACCACGCTGACCAGTACGGTGAAGTATGTTCAAACCAGCCCCCCATCATCGACAGTGAATGAAACACAAATCTCTGGATTCGTAGCTTAGTGAGTCAACCACTGCGCCACCGCTCCTCCTCTCCCGCACACGCAGTGTCAATCGTAAATTCATAATTATGAAAATGAAATGATGAATTATTCTTTTTTCCTAATATTTCATAATACTAATGAATATTATTGTAAAATAATATTCAGCTTGTTATTAATCCACTGCTGTATTCAAATCTTTTCACACGGTGCAGGCCGTGTAGATTTTTGACCATACTTCACCACCCTAGTCAGCATGGGCCAGCGAAACGTGGAAGCGCACAAGGAGTGGTTTGTATATCACTCCCCACCGATGTGAGCCGAGGCCAGGAATCCAACTCGGTTGCTACATTCATAGCGCGGTGCGCTAACCACGGCGCCACCGCTCCTCCACCGCAAATTTGAAACAAGTTGGCATGAATATGCAAACACATTGACGATTATTCTTGGGTTTTCGGTAAAGTTACGTAGGTAGGTTCAAAGGAAATAACGTGACTTTACCGAAAGACCCAAGAATATGATTTCCTGCAGTCACGAAAGCTTTAAGTCAACATTCATGATTCACATAGATGATTGTGTATGCGTGTGTGTGTGCGGGGAGCGGTGGCGCACTGGTTAGCTCAATGCGCTACAAGCCCGGCCACCCGAGTTCAATTCCCGCTCACGGTTAACGTACGTGAACCGTGCCTGGGCCTCACCTATCTTGACCCAGTCCTAAATTGAGTACCTGGTGCAGTATATTAACATCAGCACTGGGAAGACAAAGGCGGTCGGGCGTGGTGCTGGCCTCCCATCCACTTGTGTGCCATTCTGGACTTCATAAGCGCTAGCGAACAGCACTTGTTCCACCAGTCTGTCAAGGCTATACGGGGGATTTTTGTTGTATTTGTGTACACATGCACGTGTGTGTGTGTGCGCGCGTTTGTGTTTCAGAGGCTCATGCACTGCGCCGCACCCTGGTTCGACTCCCGGCCAAGACGCCCAGCAGCGTTTACAGATAACCTCAACCCGTCACGTGCCTCACCTAGGTCAACTCGGCCTTTAAATAAAATCGTATCACAAGCATCTCTTGCACTGCAACTCCACCCGAATAAAATACAGACGCACATTAAATTCCAGCATTTTTGTTTCGCCAACCCCAAAGCATTAATTGGACCAGTTATTCCACAAACTCGTCATTCCACGAAATAAAAAACACCGTCATCGTCGTCAACTACGTCTTCCGAGGACGGCAGGTCGGTCGCGTGCTGTGGGGTCAAATGTGGGTGCTCACAACTCTTTCCAAGACGTCTAGGCCAGCATGGGAGCGTCTTTATAGGTGGATCTCCAGAGCTGTGTCTCTCTCTCTCTCTCTAGCGGAGGCCCCCTTCCACCAGCGTTGAGCACGCACCTGCAGGGCTGCACCGTCTTCCCCTTCGCCTCTCGTTCCTACCCTCGATTATTCCTTCCCACCATGAACCACACGAGTGCCCCCTCCACCCGCAACCCGTGCGTGACCTTCCGCAGCTTCAACTGCACGGGGCCCTCCCTGCCCGAGAACTACCGCGCGCTCCTGCTCGCTATCCTCGCCTTCTTCACCCTGGCCACCATCCTGGGCAACCTGCTCATCATCTCGTCCATCGCCTTCTTCAGGCAGCTGCAGTCGTTCCCCAACGTGCTCGCCCTCTCGCTCGCCTTCTCCGACTTCCTCGTGGGGCTCGTCATCATGCCCCTCGCCGTCACCAAGGTCATCTACAACTGCTGGTTCTACGCGCGCCTCTACTGCAACGTGCACTACTTTCTCGACTTCACCTTCACCAACTGCTCCATCCTGCACCTGTGCAGCATCGCCCTCAACAGGTACGTGGCCATCACCGACCCCCTGCGCTACGAGTCCCGGGTGACCCGGAGAACTCTGGTGGTCATGCTGGTGACCTGCTGGCTGGGCTCCGCCGTCTCCTCGTCGCCCATCCTGCTGAGCCTCAGCCCCACCCTCTCGGTGGGCACCATCAAGCGCATCTCGTGCCCTGACGATTGCGTCTTCGACATCAACATTGGCATCATGGTGGTCATCGGCTACTGCCCGTACTTCGCCTCGCTCGTCGTCATCGTGTGCATCTACGGCAAGATCTACCGCATCGCTCGCGCGCAGGTCACCAAGATACGGGCTCAGCAGGGTGGGGGAGCAGGAGGAGGAGCAGGAGCAGGAGGAGGAGGAGGCCCCAGGACCGACAAGGACAACGCCGAGGCTCTCCTCAAGTTGAGGACCATGAAACGAGAGCACAGCGCCACCAAGACTCTCGGCGTCATCATCGGCTTCTTCCTCATCTCCTGGCTGCCCTACTACGTGATCGTGCTGGCCTCGCTGGCGCTCGCCGACACGCTGCTCGCTTACCGCGTGGCGCTCTGGATCGGCTACATCAGCTCCGCGTTCAACCCCATCCTCTACGCCGCCTTCAATCGGCCCTTCCGCAACGCCTTCCGGCTCATGTTTCGCCTCAAGGTGTTCGGCGAAGGTGCCAGGGATACAGACCTCTCCGGTCGGTTGAAGTGACTCGTGCGCGTGTGCGCGCGTGTGTGTGTGTGCGCGTGCGCGTTTGTATATGGGGTGTGGGGAGCGGTGGTGCAGCGGTTAGCGCTACGCCGTGCTACGAACCCGGCTACACGAGCTCCATTACCGCTCACGGCCAACACCAAGTGACGATTATCTGAACCGGTCCTGGGCATCCCCTAGGTCGACTCGGCCTCAACTGAGTGCCTGGTGCGATGTGTGAACTGCGCCACTGGGGAGACAAAGGCGATCGGGCGTGGTGTTGGCCACCCACCCCCCCTCGTGTGCCGTTACGGCCTTTATAAGGTGCTCGCTTAGCAGCACTTGCCCCAACTGTCTGTTACAGGCTATACGGAGGATCATTGTCTTTTTGTGTTTGTACATGGGATGCTCTTGCCAATCTGCCAATCACATCTCTGGCAATCAAGGAGCATGTTGTTGTTGTTGTGTGTTTTTTTTTTTAACGAGCCCACGAAACGTCGCCACCACGGCTTGCAACCCAGCTGGGTGCGGACGCACCCAGCGAGGGGATTGGTGGACCACACGTGGGGAGTCGAGGAGGTGCCCTGCCCCTGGCTCGCCGTGGACAAAGGCGGTCGCAGAACTGCGAAAGATGCGGACCAATGTCCGTCTGTCCCATCTGCACGGCACGGAACGTTGCCCTCCTCGCCACCCGGTGGGTTTTCCACGGGGGCCCACTCCGGTTTCCTGCCACGTGTATGTACAAACACAGCTCGTCATTAATTGGCCGAAAACATTGCGCTCGTTACGCGCAAAGCGCGCGCCACAAATGAACTGCCAATGCCTCGCTGATCTCGTCAAGGAGCGTAAGCACCATCATCACGCGACACTCCGGTTCAACCTCGCAGCAGCAGCAGCAGCAGCAGTGGATTTTGGCTAAGCCATCGAACAAAGGCGGTGGTCACCGCATCGCGCGGCGCTTTTAGATGCGCTTCTTGCGACCGTCTGGAACGCTCTTCCTTCCAATATTAGGAAGCCAATGGAGCTAGACACTTTTAAATCATCTAGATTGACAATCTATTGATCTAAAACTGCTTTTTGTGTTAAGTTGTCCTTCCCCCGGCACCTCCGATCAGCACGGTTTGGCAACGTACGGTGGGAAAGAAGTTCAACGTACATACATATATATGCGCCTCCGTGTGTTGCCGATTGCACAACGCCGTGCGATGTCGTTGCATATGTTACGCTGTGTGAAAACTAAATATTATTATAAAATGTTGATTGATATACGGGGAGGTCTACACTATAAATATATATCCGCAATCCAGGTAGGTTGACTAAGTCTATCAGCACAGGGGCCTCTTGCATCAGCCAGGAGAATTTGCATAAACGACCAAAAACTTTGGACCGGTTTCGCCACTGCAGGGCTCATCAGCAGAGTCACGGGTGCCAAACAAACACGATTGGGTTTACGAGACTCAACACTGCCAGTAGACTCAGACTTAACACTGCCCATAGACTAAACACTGCCCGTAGAGTCACGTAGGTAAAAAATAAAATAACAAAAATCACGACGTTTCGGCCACAACACAAGCGGCCTTCATCAGGTGAAGGGACGAGACTGTCTGGAGGACAGCGCTGGAGTGAAAAAAGCCACGCTCAGATCACGACCTTTAAGCTGTGTGAGAAAAAACAAAGCGCCTTGACAAAGGAATTAGCATATAATTTTTCACTCCAGCGCTGTCCTCCAGACAGTCTCGTCCCTTCACCTGATGAAGGCCGCTTGTGTTGTGGCCGAAACGTCGTGATTTTTGTTATTTTATTTTTTACCTACGTGACTTTACCCAATAGAACCAAAGAGTAAGGATCCTTGCAGTCACGAAAGCTTTAAATCTAGAACTGCCCGTAGACTCAACACTGCCCATAGACTCAACACTGCCCGTAGACTCAAAACTGCCCGTAGACTCAACACTGCCCATAGACTCAAAACTGCCCATAGACTCAAAACTGCCCATAGACTCAACACTGCCAGTAGACTCAACACTGCCCATAGTCTAACACTGCCCATAGACTCAACACTGCCCGTAGACTCAACACTGCCCATAAAATCAACACTGCCCACAGACTCAACACTGCCCGAGGACTCAACACTGCCCATAGACTCAACACTGGCTGTAGACTCAACACTCCCCATAGACTCAACACTGCCCGTAGACTCAACACTGTCCATAGACTCAACACTGCCCGTAGACTCAACACTCCCCATAGACTCAACACTGCCCGTAGACTCAACACTGCCCATAAAATCAACACTGCCCATAGACTCAACACTGTCCTTAGACTCAACACTGCCCATAAAGTCAACACTGCCCGTAGACTCAACACTGCCCGTAGACTCAACACTGCCCATAGACTCAACACTGCCCATAGACTCAACACTGCCCGTAAAATCAACACTGCCCGTAGACTCAAAACTGTCCATAGACTCAACACTGCCAGTAGACTCAACACTGCCCCTAGACTCAACACTGCCCATAGACTCAGCACTACCCATAGACTCAACACTACCCATAGACTCAACACTACCCATAGACTTAACACTGCCCATAGACTCAACACTGCACCATAGACTCAACACTGCCCGTAGACTCAACACTGCCCGTAGACTCAGCACTGTTCATAGACTCAACACTGCCCATAGACTCAACACTGCCCATAGACTCAACACTGCCCATAGACTCAACACTGCCCGTAGACTCAACACTGCCCATAGACTCAACACTACCCATAGACTCAACACTGCCCATAGTCTAACACTGCCCATAGACTCAACACTGCCCGTGAGACTCAACACTGCCCATAAAATCAACACTGCCCACAGACTCAACACTGCCCATAGACTCAACACTGCCCATAGACTCAACACTGCCCATAGACTCAACACTGCCCGTAGACTCAACACTGCCCATAAACTCAACACTGCCCGTAGACTCAACACTGCCCCTCCTTAACCTCCTTCCGTTCCTCTCCTAACGCCTTCTCTATTACCCATCCCCTTCCCCTTCCCTCCCCGCGCCCCACCACTCCTTCCCGTCCCTCCCCTGATCCATGTTTATATTCCAACAATGTTCCTGAGATCTTCGGATCGCCTTCTTCTAAGTGTTCCGAAGGCAAAAGGTTCTTGCCGGGGTGATGAGGCTTTTGCCGCTGCTCAGCTCTCCTCTGTTGAGTCATGCAAGCGCGTGTGGGTCTCTGTGCGAGTCGACTGCTCTCTCTCTCTCTCTGTGAGTCTGTGAGTCTGTGGGTGTCTACGTCAAGTCCTTTGGTGACCGAGCTGAGATAATCGACTCGCTCGACTTAAAAATCCAATTTCATTGCGGGCGGCTGCCTGGATTCGAGCTCAGGTTCTCAACGGCGCCAGCTCAGCTCGGCTCTCTCTGACCTCTGCATCAACCGGCCCCCTCTCAAGTCTCCACTTTCAAAACTCTCACCTCTTTCCGAGTCGCCACGTGTTTTACACATTGCGAGAATTATTCCTTGGTTCTACGGATGCGTCTGTAATTCATCCACTGTCTCGCTGTTGATTTTTTTTTTACCAATAAAGCAAATATCAACCCCTTCACTTCTTTCTTATAGGGTTGCATCATTCCGTCTCCTTGAATGACACAATAGGACCATGGACACGTTTGATGTCTTATAGCGGAAAGCTATCACGAAGCACGGTGCTATATGCATTCAACACCGCACTCAGAACTCCAAAATGGTCGAATTCAAAAGGAAACATTGAACTGGCGACGTTTCCGGCAATGGCTCTTCTTCTTAGTACAATTCAAAGTGGTTTTCTAAGTTGTATAAAATGCCTTTCAAGGCAAAAAAATAAACAACAGAGTCAACCTTGGGGTTGTAGAGAAGCCCAGCTAACAGCCAGCCAGGAAACCCAAAGCATGAAATGTTTTTTTAATGGTATTGTTATATAATATACCATATATACTATATACACACACATATATATTGCGCGAATAACAGCGAAGGGTTGTGGAACGGTCCGCATTTGGACAAGGCGAAAGGAGTGAGTGGAGATCGCAGATCATTCACCATGCATCCATCCATCGATCAATCCATCCACCCACACGGATCCATTTGCGGCGTTGGTCGTACGTTCAGCAGCCGTGGTAGCGATCTGTCGCCTATGACGGTCGGTGTGGTGTGTGGTGTGGTGTGTGTGTGTGGTGTGTGTGGTGTGTGTGTGTGTGTGGTGTGTGTGTGTGTGTGTGGTGTGTGTGGTGTGGTGTGGTGTGTGTGTGGTGTGTGTGTGTGTGTGTGGTGTGTGTGGTGTGGTGTGGTGTGTGTGTAGTGTGTGTGTGGTGTGGTGTGTGTGTGGTGTGTGTGTGTGGTGTGGTGTGTGTGTGTAGTGTGTGTGTGTGGTGTGTGTGTGTGTGTGGTGTGTGTGGTGTGTGTGGTGTGTGTGGTGTGGTGTGTGTGGTGGTCGTGGTTACTTATGCCCCCACCGAAGATGAACATCCGTGGAGGGATGCAGGCAAAGCCGATGAGTCAGATGCCTTCTATGACCTCCTGTCACAGGTGCTGGCTAAAGTGGCCCCTCGGGATAGAGTCATCATGTTGGGTGACTTCAATGCCCGAGTTGGTCATGATACTGGCACCTGGTCTGGAGTGATTGGAGGGCATGGGCCAGATCAGCTCAATAACAACGGTAGGAGGCTGCTAGATTTTTGTGCAGCCCATGGGCTTGTAATTACCAACACGCTGTTCCGGCATCGGCGCATCCACACAACATCATGGATGCATGCCGGGTCCAAGCAAGAACATCTACTGGACTACATAGTGACGGACCAGCGAATGCGAGCCCATGTCCTTGACACCAGGACCTACCGTGGAGCTGATCTGCCCTCTGACCATCGACTAGTCATCTGTAAGATGCGCCTGCCATTCTTCCACTCCGGTGGTGGGTGTACACCCAGGACCCCATTCCAACATAAAGTGGCCTGGTCTCAGTTATCTGATGAAAGTTGCAAGCGAGAATT